GGGCTACGGTGTACTTGGGGGTCTACTTCCTAACTCCACCGAAATCCGAGAATGGTCCATTCTGCCTGCCGTTAATCAGCAAAATGCTGCATCGGTGCTGTCGTCTTTACATCTTTTCGTTTTCTCTTTCTTTTCTTTTCCAATTTTCCTGAAACAAGATGACTGCTGCAGTTGGATTCGTAAATCTCGCAAGACATACGGCGATTCTGGAATCTGTCATATACGTCCTTGCAGCTCTTATATAAGCTGATAATCTTATGTTTGAGTTCGCATCGTCCGACAATTCTGAGCCTAATTTTGCTAGGCAGCGGAGAATTACCGAAAAAGGATGTTTGAACAAACTTCGCATTTCTGTGAATGTTAATGCTTTTATGTGCTATATGATTTTTTCTTCTGCAGAACATTGGACTGTATAACTTGCTCATCATATTAATTTGTAGAGTGTGGATCTGCCACCGAACAATACGAATCGACGAGTTACCCCTATAGATGGCTATGAACGTGTCATGGTATGCTTTCTCTAAAATCGCCTGAAGTTCATTTCTCACTTCTTTCCTGTAGTTAGAGCTTAACGCATCTGGTGATGTACTGATGGTCGATGAGAACAATTTCGAGAGTTTTCTCCAATTGACCATCCGCTCTGCGTTGAGTCAGATTGCTCACGCCGACCAGGACCGGAATTCCCGTACGTTAACGTTCGATTTTGAGTGGTTCTTTGAGATGGCGGTTATTAACACTCTTCAGAAAATGCTCGCGGAATTTCTCCACATGCGTTTTCTATCGGACAATCAATGCAGGTGTGTATTCACATTCTGTGTCTTGCAAAATGCACCAACAGGGTTTTTTCAGCTTCCTGGAGGTGGGGAACTTATTCAAGTTTCTACGCCTCTCCTTGTCCAAGCAGAAATTCAAGAGCACCATCCTGAAGGGCAGCAGGAGAACGCTGTGCCTAACGCTTCAGTAGAAACCAATATCGAAAATGGTTCCTCGGGTATGATTAGCTTTATCATCCACTTCGCACCATTCAAGAAAAGCTTTCAGATGTCCATAATAGGGAGCACAGGGAGCATCACCACGAATATGCACCTCACGATAGAGATGAAACGAATATCGTAAACGAAGTATGTGAAAATCTTTTGTGCTTTCGAAACGCTGATCATAGCAAGTCTATGGGCGCATCAGAGAAAAGCATATAAATTCCTAGCAGTCATTACGGATTTGATGAATAGGTCGCAAGTGGAATGACAGCCGGTTTGGAAACAAGAGTATCTACTATTATGGAGGTGTCTCGTGCTCCTGCAGCGATGCTCAGGCCTGGAAATGGTAAGTGCTAGTCTGTGTGTTTTACATTGCAATAGCAGAAAATGTTTCCGCATTTGCAGATTTCAAATGTATTGTATATATTGCACATATTTTTCAGGCGCAGGACTTTTGGCTCATCTTGAGGCATTGCTATTGAACTTCGTTACATTGGGGGATCTTGCGGGTATTGTCAATGGACATATGTCTCCTTTGGAACGCCATCGGCCACATTTTCGAGCACACATCATAGAGAATCAGTTGAATGGGAACTCGATCCCCTCAGCCGAAGGTAAATTTTTGGATTGAGATGTGGGCCTCCTTATCTGGTAATTTCTTCGCCAACTACATCTTTTATCTCATTTTCTCAAGACAGGAATTCACGATAAGCAGGACACACTCATGTAGACTTACCTCCATCGTCCAGATCTCGTGTCAAAAACGAGTTTATAGATCTACTTTCCGCATCGGAGCGCTTAGCCGTTCTTACTGCCTCAGTCTCTTCTGTTATATGCGCTGCCGGAGGAATGTTAGAACGTGATTGGAATGGAAGACAGCTGGACATACCGGAAACCGTACGAAATGTGGAAATTGCCACGATTCAACTGCTGTTACGGGCCATTTTGGATCGGAACAGTGAGCGAATTTTTATTTAATTGTTTTTTGTAAGTATTTACGAATGTTGTTTATCGGGATGACAGTAATATATCGCCATTATTCAAAAAACTTGACTCGTCCTTGCATAGCTGGCACTTCGCAGAGAAATGAAAAGGAGGTAAGCGTGCGTGGCGCCAGTAATATGTAAAGGCGTAATAGATCTGACGGTTGTCTTAGTGCACTTATGTGACGCAGCATACACATGAAAAGGAATTCAGAACATCGTAAAACTGCAGCCGTGGGCTACGGCCAAGCTCGTGTCCAAACATCACTTGACTGCTTGAATAAATATTGTTAGGCATTTTGAATCGCTTCCGCTGTGAAGCTAACATGAAAAGTCAAAAAAATTGAGAGGAAAAATGGAGGTTTTTTCTGGCATATTGCTTGACTAGTGGCTGCTGCCGATATGATTGTCACTCTCTGAGTCTTGTATCATGTTTGTTAATTTGACACACGCATTCATATCTTTCCTATGCGGAGTTTTTCCTTTTCGGAGAGTCGGTCGCGTTGGATTGAGAGACCTACCCCTTCTATAAGCAAAAGAAGGAAGCAAGCATGCTAGCCTCGCTAAAAATAGCGCTGTGAAATCTTTCACATGAAGACAAGCACTGGCACAGTCCTATCAGTTTGTTTGATCGTTAATCATTGTAGGGGACAAACGATGTAGACAGTCATAGTCTGCTGAAGATCCGATGTGATCACTTATTAGTTTCTTGGGGCTGGCTGTGGCCCAAGCTTACTGAAGGGTGTGGCCTAGTTTAGAACTATTTCCTTCGCCCGGATCTCTCTACCAGCGTAATCTTCGCGCTATGGAGGCAGAGTCATGGTTGGAACCTTGTCATAAGGGTCCAATCAGCTCTGCCTCTGTAGCGCGCCCTGCTTCCACTCGTCATGTTCAACTTTGAAAAGCTTCGGAGAAGGCCTGTTTTCGCCTTTTAAATGCTCTCGTTCATTATAAATCTGTACACGAATAGGCTGGAATGGGGATTCAGAGGTGGCTCGAGGAGGCGAAAGAGGAGGTATTAGAGAGCTGCACGATCAGATATGTAGGATCGCGTACCACTTTAGGCCCTGGGCATACCCCACGCGATTTCAGTCGCGACGCGATTTGACGATACTCCAGTTGTATAAAACTCTTCGTAAGGGGTTTTTGATTGTACGCAAGATAGGGCATTTCATCAAACTACGAAAGCAATACATGCTGTGCATCTAGGGGCCTGCCAGT